AGGTAGTTATGGGGAGAATGAGTTATAGAGGAGGAAAGTAACCTATAACCAGATAAAACTGCCATGTTCTATGTTCAATTACTTTCATAATAATTAACATGTCTATAACATTTAATAGTTTACCACACACTTTCATATATATTGTCTTTATGACAGGCCCGAGGTGTAGAATTATTTATCCCTATTCTGCAGAAAAGGAAACTGAGAAAGAAAAAAAATAAATAAATAAAAAGAAAAGAAAAGGAAACTGAGGCTCAGAGAGGACAGTAAGAGGTGAAACAAAGACATGGATCTAGGTCTTCTGATTATCATTTTGATACCCTTTTTGCTACACCACACAATTAAGATGCTTGCCAGCCAGTTCCCATTCTCCCTAATACCACTGTCCTGCCCTTGATTTAAGACCCGAAAGAAGGTGGTGGATGAGGAGTGGAAGGAGAGAATGAAGATGGGGTTTGGGGATGGGAAGGGGGTTGAAGTGAGAAGGGGGTGGAGGGGAGGTGGGGCGTAGTTTGACCTAATTACTTTGTTTCAAGACTCAAACCTCTCCGGTCCTGCCAAATGTCTCTTCTCCTGCATATCTTCTTGCTATTAATTTATGAAGGATAGGAGATTATAACTATGCGAATATTTGCATAGTTGGAAATAAGGGAATTACGGTTGAGATTACCCACTGGAATCTGTAAAATGGCCTGAACAGTAACAACTAACATTGGGTGTTTACTATGTGCCAGGTACTGTTCTAAGCATTCTACAAAGATTAACTAATTTAATCCTCACAACAACCCAAGAGGTAGGTGTATTGTTACTAATCCCCATTTTACAGATGAAGAAACAGTTACCAAGAGTTTAAGTACCTGGCCAAAAGTTACACAGCCAGTAAGTGGAAAAGCTGGAACTCATGCAGTCCGATTCTTGTAGTAAGACTATACTGGTAAGGCAGCCATAGGATCTAAGTACACACAAACAAATCATTTTGAGAGTTGACAGAGGGTTTTCTTTGTTCCTATTAAGGCTGCTTCTTTCTCCTGGGGAAGAGAGGGATTTCCCCACTTCCATGAAAATGACGGTGTGTCAAAGCACTTATTCAATAATTAATAGTTATTGATAAACCACTATGCCTACCCCCAGAGTGAAAATGTGGAGACTCCTCCTTCCCCTCATGTTTATTCATATAGCAGACTTCTCCCTTTGTCATTGTTTTCAAGCCTTGGATCAGGAATGTGCACTGAAGGTGCCGACCACAGCTGTGTGTGCACCTGTGGCTTTGTCACAAACAAGAAATGTGCTGGCCTGAAGCTGCTGTTCTCCACACTGAATTTTCTGGCATATTCACACCCGGTTAGGAGGGGATATGGAACAGGGCATGTATCCTAGTAGACACATTTACAAAAGTGTTAGGATTTGCTGGATGTTTCTGTGCCCAACCTCAGGACCACTGTGGCAGGGCTAAATAGCTCAATATTTGGCTCCTTTCAGTGTTCCCGAGTATGACGCAATAACAACAAAACAATGGCGTCATCATGAGGTCACTGCAGGACAAGGAGAAAGGGGAGGGGAAGGGCACTCCTTCGAGGGGTGGAGCCCTTTCCTCCCAGCACCCGAAACCCGTCTCCTTCTTTCTCTCTTTTCACTTGAGTTTCTCCACAGCCTCCTCCCTCAGATTAGCCCTCTCCCAACTCTGACCACAGCAAGCTCCGCTTTCAATCCGGGCTTTCGAAGTTTAGGCTCTGGTCTCCATGAGAAGCTCTAGAAACCCTGCCCACAGTTCTAAGTTTCATCCAATGATGAACCTAAAGGAGGAGCTGGGAGGCGGGTCAGTGACGTAATGCAGATTGATTGGCATTCAGGCCATCTACGTCCTGGATTAGCCACGAGTTTGCCAATCCAGAGGGAGGGGTGGGACGGTGCAGGCGCAGAGATTTGGGTTTGGCTGGCCTTGATTTAAAGAGACAGAAGCTGTCGGGGGTCCTAGAAGACGGTCCCAAATAACCTCCCCCCAAGACCTTGGGACCACTTCGGTCCCCAGAGCTGGGGAGATGGTTTGCGGAGGCTTTGCCTGCTCCAAGAATGCGCTGTGCGCTCTCAACGTGGTCTACATGGTGAGGTTTTGGAAGTGGGGGTAAGGCTTCAGGGCGGAAAGGCGAGTGGGGAGAATCTCTAGGGGACTTCCGGTGGGGAGAGGGGTGTACTGGGGGTTCCGGGAAGATTCCCAGGAACTTCCGGCGAAGAGGGAATTCCTGGGGACTTCCGTGGAAGACGAGAGACTTCCGGTGATCAGAGCTGGGGAGAAGGGAGTGGGAGGGATGAACTGAAGGCTGTGGGCATAAAGTCCCATCCCTCCTGTGAATGTTTCCCCAAAATAGAAAGAAGCGATGGACTAAGCTAAGGGTTCTGTTTTTATATTCAGAGACTACCATCCCTGCCACCACCTACCCCCATCCCAACCATTCTGAACTCTTTTGGGAGGAGCGCCCAAGGACGCTGCTGGTTCCGCTAACACCATACCCATCTCCTCATTTACACAGAACTCCATTCTCCTTTTTTTTGCCCAAGCTCCCTCGTAATGGCCTTTGGCCGTGCTGCGTACTTGAATTCTTTTGAGATGTATCCTGATCTGTTTCCTGTAGCTGGTGGGCTTGTTGCTCATTGGAGTGGCTGCCTGGGGTAAGGGCCTGGGTCTGGTGTCCAGCATCCACATCATCGGAGGCGTCATCGCTGTGGGAGTCTTCCTTCTCCTCATTGCAGTAGCTGGACTGGTGGGTGCTATCAACCACCACCAAGTCCTGCTATTCTTTGTATCCTGATCTGAAGTGATGGGGGCACCTGGACTCTTGGGAGGGCTAAGTGGTCTAGGAAGAAGTTAGAAGGGTAAGAGACCTCAAGGATCTTGGGTATATATCTCCTTGCCCTGCCTCATACTATATTCTACAAAACAAGAGCAGATGATTTTGTTGTTTTCAACTTGACATGGTTGTGTAAGTTCTATGAATAGATGAGACCAGATGATTATTATAGATGGAACATAAGGAAATGTAGGACTTTTTCCTGTAACTCTTCCTCTCAGTATATGATCATCCTTGGTTTGGTCTTCATCTTCCAGTTCGGAATCTCTTGCTCATGTCTGGCTATTAACCAAAGCACACAGGTAAGGGGATGCCCTTTCAATTGCTTTCTTCCCCCCGTTTTCCTGTAACTCTTCCTCTCAGTATATGATCATCCTTGGTTTGGTCTTCATCTTCCAGTTTGGAATCTCTTGCTCATGTCTGGCTATTAACCAAAGCACACAGGTAAGGGGATGCCCTTTCAATTGCTTTCTTCCCCCCGCTCCTCCCCCAATCTCTAACTCTCTCTTCTCAGTCTGGTCCTAACTACCCAAAGATCATCCTTAGGTACACTACTTCCACACTCTTGAGCCAATTGCTTCCTTTGAGATGTCTGGTTAACTTTCCATGAGGATGATCTAGAGAGAGAACCTGAGAAAGTGGGTATTTATCATTGTGTCTATAATTGTGACGTATCATCATGCTTCCGAGTGATTTTGACTCCCTTTGCTAGAATAGGGAAGTTGGGTCACTTGAACTGAGATGACGATGTAAGATTAATTTCCCTCTGCCTGTATCCTCCAGACAGACGTCATCAATGCTTCTTGGTGGGTCATGAGCAACAAGACCCGGGATGAACTGGAAAGAAGTTTTAATTGTTGTGGCTTGTTCAACCTCACAACCTTGTATCAACAAGATTACGCTTTCTGCACTGCAGTGAGTGGGGAGGAGGGGGCCAGCAGGGGAGAGGTAGGAAACTGGGTAAAGACAATGCCCAAATTGCCGATTGTTTAAATGTCATTGCCTCTCTCGCTAGCAGCTCTCTTGTATGGTTATGTGTATTGGTGGGGGTAGGGAGGAATGGATGCAGAGGATGGCTAATTCAGCCAAGTGGGACTTCAGTCTGTTGGATACTGATAAGATACTAGTAAGTAGTTCCTAAGGACATTCACCTTAGGTATTGAGATAGGGCAGCTTAGCAAGTTTGAATTCTCCACAGACACACACAAAATGTTTTATCCTCAGATCTGCAAGAGCCGGAGCCCCACATGTCAGATGTGTGGAGAGAAGTTTCTTAAACATTCAGATGAAGCCCTGAAAATCCTGGGGGGTGTTGGACTCTTCTTTAGCTTTACAGAGGTAATTCTCCAGTTCCCTCACATACTATTTCTCTACAAGTCTAAACCCCAGAGATTCAGAATTGATTGATGCTTATTTCTCTCCCTTTGTTCCTACAGATCCTTGGTGTTTGGCTAGCAATGAGATTTAGAAATCAGAAGGATCCTCGAGCCAACCCCAGTGCCTTTCTATGAGACTTTGGATCCTTCTGACTTCTGTCCAGCTCTCTGCTCCAAGCCTTTTCTTCCTCTCTTAGGGAAAACCTAGGGTCTATAGCCCTTTTTTGTTTGAAAAAAAGGAGAGGCCCTTTGCCACATCCCCTAAAACATTGAATAGCTAGGATTTATGCCTCGACGTATTTTGGTGGGAGCAAGACTATAGGGAATAGAAAGAAAAACTTCTTTCCTCTCCCAAGTGGATATGAGAAGCCCCTGGGAGTACAAGGGATAGGAGTTGGAGTCATTCCTTGCTGATTCCCCTCTTCCCTTTTCCACATGCTGGACCACCTCACCATACCCTGGCTTGGCTCCAAGGGTAAATCAGGAACAGAGCCAAGGAGAAAACCACCAAGAACTCTTTCTTGGACCCCACTTGAAAAAATTAAGTGAATATAAAAATAAAAGCCATTTTAACTCCACATTCAAAGAAGCAACTTAAGTTCCTTTCTAATCTTTGCCAGTCAAGGGGCTCCACTGACTGCCTAAACACAGTAACTTAAGGAGAGAGTTAAAGAACCTTAAGGAGGTTCTGCATGGAAGTTCCTTCTTCCAAGTGGTTTTTCCAAATTTCCCAATGGCAAAGCCAGCCTGAGGAAGAAACATTAAAAAAAAGACTATATCTCTTTGTCTTGTTTCTTTTTTTTTTTTTTTCCTGTATAAAAAAAGACCCCAATATCAAGGTAAGGAAAGGGATAAGAGGGGACATACCCCTTAGTGTAGAGAAATAGGGGGCAGGAGAAGGATAACCCTCAAAAGGAGGGGGGTGGGAAGGGAATATCATTAAGGCAGCAAAATATTCTCTGTAAAAAGTTGGAGGAAGCTCCACACCCTCAAAAATAAAGGCAGAGATCGCCTTCTCAGTGGGCTTCTCTCCACTCAAGCGTCCAGAAGGGAAACAGCTGCTTCTCTTCCTTCTGTGGCAGCCACCCGTTGCTCATTCCGGGTTACTTTCTTCCTTATGTAGATAAGAGTGCTGCAGGGCTCGGAAGGCAGAGATTCTCTTGTGTGGGTTAAAAGTCAGCATTTCCTAAGGAGAGAGGCTAAGGTCAGAAAACTATGGGGGAAAAAACCAATTCTGCCCACTCCCAACAATACCTGGGACGGGCTCTCTATTTTCAATATCCCTCTCTGTGGATGGTCATTCACAGCACCAATAAAAACTGCAGCACGTCCACCAATCAAGTCTCATTAAACCACAGTGGTCTGGGCCCTTATGTACTGCCTCATTTTCCACCCCAATCTCACCCCATGCCCATGCCTAGTACCAGCAGCAGCTGTGCTCCAGACTCCTCCATCTCGGGCACCACCGACTGCACTGGGCGGGGCCCTCGGGGGAGAAAGGCCCCTCGGGGTAGAGAGACATCTCGGGGCCACTCATCCTCTTGAGGCAGCCCAATCAGGCTATGGGGGACAGAAAAACTCTGGTCAGGAGGGTCCTTCTCCAGCTCCCATCCCCAAGGACAGAGCTAGTTGCCATCAAGGGTTCAGCAGAAAGAAAACCCAGAATGGATAATTCTTTTCCCCTTTGCTGGTCACTTACTCAAAGATTTTGCCCAACTGGTCTGCTTCAGAGTTTCCACAGAAGAGAGGCCTAAAGTGAGAAGGGACACAGGAAGGAGTCATTTTCAAAGATACCATAGTGGAATGACTGTAACTTAGTGGCTCAAAATAAAGCGTATGAAGAATAAATGAAGTTCCTACATCCAGGACATTTCAGAGCTTCTGGCTATTATGGGCAAGGGAGTCAGTAGTAATCAAGTAAAAGAATGGGCAGGTATGGATGTGGTTTATGAATAAGAGACTTGGGGAATTCAAGGTGGTTCAGGGTACTTGTGTCCCATACTTTCGACGAAACATCTCTGCAAAGATACAGCCAACGCTCCACATGTCCACAGGTGTTGCATATGTAGACTGCAGAAGAACTTCAGGAGCTCGGTACCAGAGTGTAACAACCTAAAGGGAATAAGAGTGCGGGCCCTATGGGTTACCATGAAGCACAACTGCTGGACTGAAGAAGCACATGACCACTCAGTTGATATACACACTCATTCTCCTACCCTCAACCAGAACCCATTTTAGCTACCACACTGACCACGGGTGTGAGTGCCATCTGGTAGCTGTAGATTCTGGCCAGGCCAAAGTCAGCCAGCTTGACTGTCCCACCACTTGTCACCAGAATGTTCTCTGGCTTCAGGTCCCGATGAACGATGCAGTTGGCATGAAGGAAATCTAGGCCTCTTAGAAACTGGCGCATCAGATCCTGGTTTGGAAGGGAGAAGTACAGACATACTGGAAGCTAGGTACCATACGGAAATCCCAAAAGGTTCTACTACAAAGGTCCCAATCCACCTCTCAATGTCTACCCACCTCACTCACCTTGATGGTCTCCACTGGCAATCCTGGTGGGGGTGCCTTGTCCAGATATGTCCTTAGGTCTTGGTCCACATGCTCAAATACCAGGGTCACCTTAATCTCCCGGTCAGTTCGGGACGTGGCACAGACATCCATCAGCCTGGACAGAATAAATGGTCACTCACTAGTCAATGCTCTTTGGCCCAACATGGCCTCCCCTATTTTCTCAGGGTCCCCACACCCCACCTACAGATTGTCTTTTCCCCATTACTTTCCACTCCCAACCTTCTACTTTCTCACCTGACAACATTGGGATGCTCAAAAGCCTCCAGCCGCCTCAGCAAGGCCACTTCACGAACTGTGCTGATGGGAAGGCCCCCTCCAGCTCCTCCTCCATTGGGGACTCGCACACTCTTGAGGGCCACAAAGTGGCCACTGTGGGGATCACGGGCCTTGTATACCGTCCCATAGGCACCGACGCCAATTTCAGCCACTGGCTCATATCGAGAGGTAGCCATTCTCAGATCAGGGGAAACCCTACAATCACAGAGACTCCTACCACCAGAATTCCTTTCCAGAGTTACGATGGTATGAGCCTGCAGCAACAAAGTCACTCCCACAAAAGGCAGCACAAAGACACCACCACCAGCATCCCTTTCTCTCCCCAACCTTCCATGGGGCCGGCCCCTCAGCTAACACAATGACTCTAATACCAACTTCTCCAGCCACGTGAAGCCCTAGAATAAAAAAATGCCTTTTCCTTTGGCTCCATCGCGCCTTGCACAAAGGAGATCACACATGACACACGCCTTGCACATAAGATCCTACACCCCAGTCTCTAAAATTCCACCTCCCCCCCCACCACAAAGGCCCCACTTCCCGCCCTTGAGCGACCCTTCCAGAACTAATCCGCGAAACGCACACGTGGGAAGCCGTGGGGGGCGGGGACTGGACCCCATTCCTGGGAAGGGGCTGCACTTACCTCACACCAGACCGGGAGCTGCGGGGGCGGGCTGTTATCGGGGCCCCGGAGCCGGTTCGGGCGGCGCCATACACCCAGCCTCGGTCCCGTGCAGCTGGACGCTACGGGTCCGACCATAGACACAGGCCGCAGGCTAGAGAGGCCCCCTCACCCCCACCCTCACCATGTGACCAGCTGCCAAAGAGGCGCGCGGAAACTGGGGGGGCGGGGCTAACGCCGGACGTTCGGGGCACGTGACCGCCACCCATGCGCAGAGGGGCGGCCGGGAGCGGCTTTGACTGGGAGGGTAGCGATGAGGGGAGGAGGGCAGAGGAGCAACGGCAGCCACGTGATCTGTTGCTATCACACGTGACCGATTGACATTGCTCTGAGGAGCAGAGGTGTGGTTACGCGGAGGGGCACGTGATCAGCTCCCTTAATCCTGGCTGCAAGGGGGGCGAGAGAGGGTGGAGCCCAAGGCGATGCCATGGCAACCTGGGCCACCCAGATCCCAGCTCCCAGCTGAAAGCGGAGCCTGAATGCTTCTCCAGTCTCACTGCGTGTCTCTCAGACTCTGTATTGGGGGCAGGGGTGTCAGCATCCGAGAAATGGTGCTGTCACCTTTTCACTCCACCAACATCGGAAAACATGTTCTCATTTGTGTCTTTGTTTCACTCATTCATTCAACAAAATATTACTGCTTGTTTCCGGTGTTTTTTGTCCAGTGGGGTTTTTGTTTTGTTTTGGTGTCTCAGTCACTAGACCTTTAAAGTAGTGATAAAGCTATCTACTTCCCATAAAGATGCAGCCAAAAGTGTGGTTTTATAAAAGGAGTAGACAATGACATCGGAGTGCAAGACTAGGATTTAAAGGACAGACAGAAGGCAAGTTAATACAGTAATCCAACAGGAGGAACCGGAGTAATGCCCTCCCCTCTTCCCAACTGCCAAACGTCCCTGGGACCAGATGCCATCTGGCAGAGAAGTTATTTTTTATTTATTTATATTTTTTAAAAGATGACCGGTAAGGGGATCTTAACCCTTGGCTTGGTGTTGTCAGTACCACGCTCAGCCAGTGAGCGAACCGGCCATCCCTATATGGGATCCGAACCCGTGGCCTCGGTGTTATCAGCACCACACTCTCCCGAGTGAGCCACAGGCCGGCCCTTGAGAAGTTATTGATGACAGGAATACTTGATCTTTAAGGTTCTTTTCAGCACTAAGATTCAATGATTCTGTGATGTGTGTGTGTGTGTGTGTGTGTATGTGATAGTATTCCTGTCATATGTGGACAGATAGATAATAGGAGTGAGCATGTGCAAAGAACTTACCACCACTGCCACCACCCCTGACCACTGTGTTGCATGAGAATGACTTGTGCCCTTTTGTAAATCTTATAACTCCTCATCTGGGGTCATTGCACTTCCCTCTTTCCTCCCAATACAGCAATTTTTTTTTTTTAGCTCTTATCCTTTATCCCTGCCCAGAACACTGCCCACAGACAGGTAATTTCTCTGGCTTCTCTTGTCTTTTTGGCTCCAAATTCTTTATCTCCCAGCCCTTTCAGGGTATGGGAGTAAGAGAGGGAAGGGATCAGTAACTCATTTGTGAAAAACTGTCTAAAATCCGAAATCATTTTATTACCTTATTTGCCATTCCTTCCATCCTAACTTCTATTCCCCTTAGCCATCTGGCTGAGAATATAAGAGTTCAGACTTGAAGGTCACTATAAACCATGATCCAGGGCAAAATGGAAGACATGTCAGTACAAATTCTTCCTTTTTCCATCCTGATACTTGTAGCTCTGGGCCCTTACTGGCAAGAGCAGCTGAGACACCAGTAAGAAAAATCTCCAAGTCTGAACTGGCTAAGGGGCTCGAGAGGTGAATGTTTCATTGGCTTCCTTGCTAGGGCTTGTTGGATTGTAAGCCCTCTGGAAGGCCAAGATAAGTGTCTGTGAGTTTGTCAAACTCCTTTTCAATGCCAGCAGTCTCTATATAAAACTTGCCTTCCACATAAGCCCACCACAGCTTACTGTCTTTAGAACAGAAGCCATAATTTATGTCTACTTGGGTCCCAGCCCCTTTTCCTGATTCATTTATTTGTTCATCCAAAACATTTGAATGCTTTATGAGACTGTTGCTGTCTCTCTTCTATCACTTTCTATTGAGGAGCCTTAACTTGGCAGTCTGTCCCAGGCTCCATCTCCTCCCTTTTCCTGTTAATTACTCTTTTACTAATTAATTTTTTCTCAGCGTGTCTGACCCAATGGGCTCTCCTGGAATTCCTTTTCCCTCAGCTTTGCAAAGGGGAAGAGAGGGAGGATGTAAGGGTAAGGCAGAAAAAAATGAGATGGGGAGGTTAGAACTGGTTCTCAGGGTCAAGGCTCCCGTAAAAGAGCTAAACATGTGTTTGTGGTGTTCACTTCAGTGTAGTGCAGGTAAGGGCAGGAGAGTACCGGGAAAGACACTCCCATCCCTTTAGCACTCCTGTCTCCCTTGCTCACTCATCTCCCTCATACATTACAATCATGCGCTTCTGTTTCTTGTACAATCTGATTCCATTCCTTACACACTCGCCTCTCTTTCACAGTCCCACATCGAGCACATTTTAGTCTGTTGTGCAAAAGTGTTTATTGCTTGAGTCCATCCCTTGCCCACTCATCTCCCTCACACCTCGGGCCCTTGAACAACTCTTTCTTTGCACACGCCCATTTTGCACAAACCTCTCCCTCCCTGGTACACCTGCGTCCTTAGACCACTCACCTTCCCTCCTCCCCCGTTTACTCCCACCCTCATCCACACACCTATTCTCCTACCCTCGTGCATACTCCTCTTCCTTAGCCACGCCCCTCCCTCCACCCTCCCCGGGATCGCACACTCGCCCCCGCCCCTGGGGACACCTGCTCTTGCGGGGCAGGGCGGGGATGCGCAGCCGCGGCCCCTTCTCCTCACCCCCTCCCCG